TCGCAATTCTGGGAATGCAACCCGGGCAAATGTACCGCAGGACCGTCTGTGGATGCGAGCGACAGAATTCGATGTCAGCTGCATGGAGCGAGTTGTCACAAGGAGCGTGAACACGGTGAAGACAGATCGAGCAGGTGATGGCTTTGGAACGAGGTCCTACACGCTGAGTGCAGATAGAGCAGGTGTTCAGTAGCCGCATTGGCGTCGTGGGCGAGACCGAAATGATCGGCATGGTCAAACAGATGACACAAATATCTGCAAATAAACGTAGTGGACTACCTGTCTCAAGAGAACAGAATGCGCAGGAGGTCGCTATCCGCAGTCAAATCAATGAAGTTCGGTTCTCTTTCGGTGCGGATAACTCTGGCGGCATGCTCGGCCCACTTGAATTGCAAATGGTTAGGCAGCCTCCTGACGATAGAGCTGATTGTTCTGGACGCGTTCAAATCCGATTCATACCTCAACTGTTTCAACGTCAAGTAGCATGAACGCAGTTCCACAGCTAAACGAGACAGAGCTGTGAAATCATTGGGCCTGATGTTAGGGCCATCAGTTAAAGCATTAATGTGAGTCCTAGCAATCATGTGGGGCCGTCCGAAGCGTCTGCGCAAAATGTTCATTGCTTCTTCAAAACCTTCACCAGGGTCGAGTATTAAGCAACTTTCGATAGCTTCTTTGGCTTCGCCACAACAGTATTGTATCAGATATGAAAGCCTGATAGTTGGATCGGAAGTAGTTCTGGAAACATTGGCTTCGAAGCATCGCATAAACATCCAATAGCGGGCAGGATCCCCATCGAATGTTATCAGTTCACGTTTTGGAAGACAGGATGACGTGCTGGGTCCAAATTCACTGGATTTGCGTTCCGGACACAGGTTACCGTCAGATTGAAGGCCGGAGCAAAACGCTCCCGACTGGGATCGAACGCCGGTACTGTCGGATGCCAACGGACCAACCAACTGAGCTACGGATGCGACGTGCGGACCCCTATAAACAGGCTTCACAAACGACGAGCAGATGGCAACTTCAGGAGAAAGCACACAATCGTCGGCCGGAAATCGCGAACGTTCATTAATAAGAGCATCCGACTCAAATTCTGGTCCGCAGTAGTCCTTAGCATCAACGGTATTCGCCTGCAACATGCGCATGCTCGTTAAAGCCGACTCCAACAGGCGAATACGGGATTCAGCTTTTCGAACTTTCTCAGCATCAGTAACGTTAACATCACCAAAAGAATCACCAGAAACGGACATGATTGCTCTATTCAACTTATGTACCAACGTCACTAAGCCTAAACTAAGTACGTCGTACGAAACTAAACTAAAACTACGAACAGATAAACCTAGACTTAACGCACGGTCTGGGCAGAAGAAGAAAACGAATTATCCTGTAACCGTGGTTCTATAAGGCATAATAAATACAGTACATGACTTACGAATAGGTTTCGCAATCGTAATGCAAGTGGGCAGAAACTGTCCAGCGTGGGGCGGATCGAGTATTCGGGCAGTGTCACAGTAACATAATAATAAGAATGACCTTGAAACCTCAAGGATGTGTCAGTGATGGAGTGTAAGAAATAAATATGCGATATGTTAACCGCTTGTAAAACACAGAAAAGCAGTGTAAATGTGCAAGATAATCAGGGAAAAGAGATACCGTGTCCTCAGGTAAGCAATCCAGTTTGGGGATACATCAAAGTTCCTTTTGGACTTTACAATGATGATGATGATGATGATGATGATGATGATGATGATGATGATGATGATGATGATGATGATGATGATGATGATGATGATGATGATGATGATGATGATGATGATGATGATGATGATGATGATGATGATGATGATGATGATGATGATGATGATGATGATGATGATGATGATGATGATGATGATGATGATGATGATGATGATGATGATGATGATGATGATGATGATGATGATGATGATGATGATGATGATGATGATGATGATGATGATGATGATGATGATGATGATGATGATGATGATGATGATGATGATGATGATGATGATGATGATGATGATGATGATGATGATGATGATGATGATGATGATGATGATGATGATGATGATGATGATGATGATGATGATGATGATGATGATGATGATGATGATGATGATGATGATGATGATGATGATGATGATGATGATGATAGTGATGATGATGATGATGATGATGATGAGAACTGAGAACTGAGAACTGGTGCGAAGCAGCGAGTAGAGGTTGCTCTGTGTAGCTGCATCATTCGTCGTTTTCGGACATGAACTTTTTATTTATCGTTTCCCTCTTTGTACTTTGCCTCTGCAAATTGTCGGTCTAGTAGCATCTTGAATTGAGACACTGTGTTCGCTTCTACTATATGCTGAGGCAGGTCGTTCCAGACATTTACCACTCTGCGTTCGAAACAGAGTTGATGGGCGACCCGCTTCAAATCCGGGACGATAAGTTTATACCGGTGTCCTCGCGTGCATCTTGGTGTGCGCAGATGAATTATTTGTCTCAACATGGGGTAATCACCCAGATGTAATATTCGGTGCGTCATGATGAGGTCAACCCTCAGCCGACGATAAGATAGGGTGTATAACCCTAGTTTCTTACATCGGTCTTCGTACGACATACCTCGTAAGTTGGGAATCAGCCTGGTGGCTACATGCTGCACCCGCTCAAGTTTTCCTACTTCGCCCCGGGTGATGGGACAGTATGCGGGAGTGCCGTACTCTAGCATTGGTCGTATTATCGAGACGAAGAGGCGAGAAGCAATCTCTTCGGACCAAGTGCTAAAGCTGCGCCTGAGAGCCCAAAGCATACGAAGGCTGTTTTGGTACAGCCTATTCGTGTTGTCAGTGGACTTTAGGTCGCAGCGTGAGAGTACATCGAGGTCGCGCACGAAAGGAGCGGGATGCAACGGTTGTCCAGTCACTGTGTACGTTCGGCCGTGATCATACTTACCCAACCTCATGAATTGCGACTTGGCAGGGTTGATCGGAAGGTTAACCTCTGCAGACCATGTTGAGAGGCGGTCGAGATCCTGCTGAAGTAAATCGCAATCATTGAGTGTGCGGATTACTCTCCACACTTTCAAGTCATCTGCGAACAAAGCACAATGTGATTGTAGTAGCGGAGGCACATCGTTTATATGGATTAGAAACAATGTCGGTCCCAGTACAGTGCCTTGGGGCACGCCGCTGCTCGATGGATACCACTCAGTTAGATGGTTGTCCACCTGGACTCTCCACTTTCGATCAATAAGGAAATTGCTGATCCATTTGTGCAACGAACCACCAACACCGCACATCCTCAGTCTGTCAAGGAGCACTGCATGGTTAACCTTGTCAAAAGCCTTACTGAAGTCAATGTAAATGACGTCAACCGATTGGCCTTTGTTCAGCGCTTGTAACCATTCGTGCCTCGTCAACAGTAGGTTGGTGACGCACGAACGACCTTTCAGGAAACCATGCTGTGCGGAGGTCAACAGGTTTTTCGACTCGAGAAGTTGCAGAAGGCTCTTCTTCACGATCTTCTCGAGAGTCTTTGCCAAAACTGCCGTCAGGCAGATCGGCCGGTGGTTATCCACTTTGCTTGGGTTACCACCTTTCGGGATAGGCTTTACGACTGAGCATTTCCAGTCGTCCGGATGATGATGATAGTGATGATGATGATGGTGATGAGGAGGAGGAGGAGGAGGAGGAGGAGGATGAGGATGATGACTTTGGCCACTCGGAACAAGGCAGGACGGCATTGAGCTGACACAATCAGCACGTTGGCCTCTTACGAATGTCGTTCGGAAATTTCGAGCCAAGTGTAGTACGGTGGGTGTTGTACGCTCACGTGAAGCGCCATGTGGAGCACGCGATTTAAGCCTGACGTCGCTAGTGTAGACACAATAAGGATCCGCATGAATACCAACAACTTAAGCGACCAATTCGTTAGGGCTTTGATTTACGTCCTCTACCAACGCAGGCTACTAGTCATGGGATTTTACAGCAACGAATATCCACGCATACGAAGCGAACTTATCATGGTTTACATTATACCGATAAACTCAACTCGCGCTTTTCCCACCCCATTGCACCTCAGCCACAAAACCAACATCAAAGACGACTGGATCAAAGTTGCCACTCACTACTGTCGACTTGATTATGGATAAAACGTTTCCTCTCTTTGATTATCCCAAACCTAAAACGCCCTTTTAACCCACGTCAGTTTTATCGCAACACTAGAGAATTTCAAACTCACCTTGACGGCGCTCTGTCGAAATTGTATTATGAGCATTAGTCCGTTTAAGTAGGGGGACCAAATAAATCAAATCAAACTATGTACGCGGCGGCGCTCTCTGTCACCTTGCCATGAGAAAACCTACATCAGTGTTCATGTGAATGGCTTGGTGAGTCAGTTAAAACCCAACTTACTATTTTTCATGTTGTTTTCAAGTTTGGTTTCATAATCCTACGGGACTTGTCAGTCGATCGCTTCGTTGGCCATCATACATCATTATTCTCTGTAAAGATCGAAACGATGCGTCGATGAACCAACGCGATAAGCGGAAGTGATTAAAAGGGATTTCCGACGAGAACAATAAAACGCAGAGACAGTCGGTGCAGTTCCTTATCCATTAAAAGTTTGCACTTAGGCATTATTTTGTGTGCGATTGAGGCAGCGTGATAGTTGACAGCTTATTCCATCAACTTGTATCCACGATGTTGTCACTGTGCTCTACAGGCAAAAATACAGCCTGACATTTTGGTCTGATTGGAAACACGGCTAACAGACTGGACTACAATTGTTCAATGGTTTAATACGGGTAAAAAGGGCTAAAGGGTAAGCGGGTCCTGTAAGATGGACACTAGTTTTGTTCAGGAGAGTGCCCTCATTCTTACTGGTAAATTTGGTCACCATTGACCGACACACATATTGCGCGGCGTCGACAGCAATACGCGGTGATTTCAAAACGTTTCCAAAATTTGTTCTGCCCACAGTTGGTACAAGAAGAACAAACGGCAATTTCGGAACTTCAACGGAAGCTGGACATCTACAAAGTCCCACCTACATACGACTACGCCAACTTAGTGGCCAGTATGACTAGGTTGGCCAGAGAACGTCTCATACTGGAGAGGAAGAAGGCTGTGGCTCAGGTACGGAAATACACTCCGTTATGTATGCAATGTTTATATGACTCCACCACAGGTAGTGCCTTTCTCAGTTCTTCCGAACCATGATCTCGAGACTTCAAAGAAGAGACGAAGTTTTCAGTCACTTCTAATAATCTTGGGCACAGGAAGAAGTGAGACAAAGCAGAGTTGATAGTCTCATTCCGCAAGTTACCGCTTCATTTGCTAGTACAAGGTATCCAGTTTGAACCTACCATTCAGTCAAGCGAATGGAAATGGTGGTGTTTAGAAAGCGACTCATGAGTGAAACTAGTGATCGAAAGACCAAAATAGTGGCTTGAACGACCTGGGTGCACTGAATACCATTAACGGGTCTGTACGAGTACTAATGCGGAGCATTTGCGAACAATGCAGCTTTTGCATCTACCGCTATTATTTGTTTATAATGAAGCCACGAGAAGTGAATTGACAACACTTTTCTATCTAATAGCCAATGAGCAACAAATAATGTAAGTCACAGGTGATCCAGTGCCGCATACTAACAGTGGCGCTTTTTGGAGCCCCAGGTTTTCAGCCCGACCTTAATTACCCTACTTTACCTCGTTGCACTGATGTATGATCGTTTGACAACGCAACGCTTTGCACAAACCGAGTGTAATGGCAGCCTTGGCATCGTGGCCATTTGGGCCGGCTCGTAGCCTTAAGGAGCACAAACCTGCCTTGTAATCAGAAGGCGTGGGTTCGAGCCAGCGTACGGGATCGGACGACGCTCACAGTATCCTTAGCTCACGCGCGACTGGTAGTAGTTGCGCGGCAGCGAAGCATGCCGCGCAACTACTGTTGCTCTTTTATCCAAGAAAGAATAAGAGCGAGTGGACGTTTAAGACGGATGAGTATTCATTTGACATCTGAGATTTAGATGCAACGGCCATACTCACTTTGTGCGAACTCGATTTTATCTGCACAGTTACCGATATCATACAAGAGTGCAATGACAGTGCGATATAAAAAAGTCCCCAGTTTGCCGTTGGACTCGATACCACTAGAGAACCATCTGCATTATGGGCTGGAAGCGAAAGTGGCATTGCAGGGATTGAAAAATCAAGTGCAACGACGATTTACTAATGTACAGTTTCAAAGCGACATGAAAGGAGATAATGAGGACCTCTTCGCCAAGGCTATCTTGCAGTCTGAATAGTTGGCAAATAGATTTCGTTGGTATTGTTCGATCCGTCAAGGATATTAATTAGTTAATTCAACCACACCGTGTCCTTCTGGATTTTCCTCGCATTGACCAATCAATAGTACCTCACGCATAGTTTAACTCATATGTCATATGAGCCATGTCGCATTTATTCGCCTGATAGACTTTGTTTCGTACTGTACCTTGTTCTTGCTTAACTGCGGTCTGGGGACGTGCTTTGCTTGAATTCGTTACTAAGTATTACTGGCGACGGAGGTATTAGGTGTACGGGTGTATTAGGTATCTAGACCACGTCCGCCACAATTGTTATCCGGAAATCATCAAAAAGAGTGAACCGATATTCGTCATCATGGTGCCCTTAGTGAGTGCACTTCATAATCACATTGCGTGTCCAATGATGACCCGTTCGTGCACAGCAATCAGGCGCATCTCTGTAAACTGTTTATCGTCCTAAGTGACGGCTGAATATGCTTATGAAATACGTGGGGTGAATGAAAAATTTCGAGCCTGACATGGTCAATGGTATATTGCGGATAACAAGTCGAAGCTTGACATGTCCCGCCGGATGATCGGTTAAGGGTGAGCAAAATAAAGGCAAAAAATGACAATAGGAAACGGTGTACAACCGCTAATTGCGAACTTGCCGATAACAGCGTTCCCCTCGGTTTTACTTACTGTCCAAGGATATCGTCTGTGGTTTCCGAGCAAAAAGGGAGGTGAATTGGTTTGTTTTTGGTTTTCTGCTGTTCGTATTGGTCGGTTAGATTACGTGATATAGTGTAGTGTGACCAATACACTGTCGACACGTGCTTGGGACAAAGCTAACGTGGGGGCTGAAATAACAGCGTTTGCTAGGATATTCCACGTGTGGCAAACACGCAGCGAGAAGTAGATTCTTCGACACTCCAACCGACTGTAGTGTTCTGCCAACTTGAGCTGATGACCTCTCAGTTGACTTTTGTCACTCAGCTTTAATAGGTGATGGTGATGTTTAATATTTGCTAAACCATGGTTAGGTCACCACGCGAAGGGCGTTAACGTCCACTGAAAATGCCAATCACTGTGAGGCGCTGTTCATATGACAAGTAGCGCAACCCATTGACAGTCTGGGTCATCCGATGTTGCGGAAGCTCCAAGACCATGAGATCCCGCTTTAGCCATAATTGCCAAACTTGAAGTGTATATGCAACAAGAGGATGTATGTAAGCGGGAAGTATTTGGCGGAAAATCCACCGTTCTAATTGCCCGAAAGCTCTCCGTAAGAGCCCCACGATTTGGACCCCTCCTTCGATGCTTTTTTGGGTTGCTCCGAACAGCCGAATCTATCTAGACCAGCACCATGAGATCCCTTTTGAGTGAACAGTTTTGCAGGTCTTGGTCACCCAGTTTATATGAGTGAACCGTTCGGGGTTTTAAATGGAGCACTCGATATTTAGCCAAATTGCAGGAAAGACGATTTTGGATCGACCATTCATAAATAATGTCAAGGTCGATTTGAAGCTGGATACAGTCTTCTGGAGCTCTGCTCACTCGCCAACTTATGATGTCATCAGCTTAGTGTAAAGCGTTTGACGCAATTTGACGCACTTGGTCGTTTATGAAGACCAAAAATGGACGGGGCCCCAATACCGAACCCTGTGACACTTCGCCTTCGACGTGAATTGAGTCTGACTTCGATTTACGTACTTTTACATCCAGACGCCTGTGCGAGAAGAAATTGTAGATCCACCCTGAAAAAGTCGGTCCTTCAGGGACAAAACGTATATTTAGCAAACAACAGGACCAGGCGAAAACGCAGGCAGAGGGCGAGTGAAACATATCGTTATATACAGCTAGTTGGATCCATAATTAACGACCTTTGTGAATGCATGACATTTCTCCTTTGATTCAGTTAAACAAACTCACTCCAATGCGTCCACTGTTTGCCAATCAGCGTGCATGCGAGAAACGTGTGAACGTCCAATCGACTGCCGCCTTTCCTTGCGGCAGCCTAACGGCTTCCTTGCTGGACTGGCACCGCACGTTCGTTCGAGTGTATACTCCCATCACACACCCAAAGTAATGGTCTGCAATACCACATGTTTGAAGTTTCGCGAGAAGGATACGACGGTCCAACCGATGGAGTGCCTTAAAGAAATCAAGATAAGACACATCAACTCCTGCACCAGCGTCCACAATTTCGGTCCAGCTGTCTCGTGCTAACAGTAGATTGATTGTGCACGACCGATTCTGGCGGAAGCCGCGTTGCTGCTGAGCAATGTGATTAAAGCCCTCCAGATAAGACATGTGTGGGTCGGCAATGATAGTCTCCACAACTTTTGAAAGAACTGGCAGTAGAGTCACTGGTCGATAGTTAGCTGGGTCGGAACGACTACCCCTTAGTAAACGGGACTTATTATTCCTTGATTCCACATTGCAGGAATGGGCTACTCGTCGAGACAGCGCTGGAACAGCCGCGCCAAAGGTTCAGCGAAAATAGCAGCCGCCACAGCAAGCGTCTTTGGGCGGATGTCATCAATTTCTGGACAGGCGTGTATCGCATGGATAACAGCTTTCTCATCACGATGTCTGCGATAAAATTTATGAGTCAGCCCTGCTGTGGGCACCATAGATTCCAAAGATTCAGAAGACGACGGGATACAATGAAACGTTGGTGCATATTGTTGTTGCAAGACATTCGACGATTCTTTTGCAGTCCGAGTTAGACCATCCACTGTTTGAAGAGTGGGAAATCCACTTTTCGCGGAGGCTGTTCACATGTTTGTACAGAAGCTTAGGATTTGCAGCTAATCGCTCGGCTAGAACATGTTGTTAAACTACTTTGTCCTCGCGCGCGTTTTGGGTGCAGTGGTTACGGTGGGCAACATATGCCTTCCAGGTACTCGGACTCGGATCGGTTTTGTGGGTATACCACGCCGCCCTGAGCATCACCAAGCGTTTGCATGTCGTACTCAGTACAAACGACGTCATGTTTCTCGATGCTTCGATGCTCCACTAACCATGGTGTTAAACTCACTGACGATATGTTCCCAGGCAATATCCGATGCATCCACGGTTAGTAAACTCCATTCGGTCGCTTCAACGAGTCGGGTTAAGGTGTCGTAGCTGGTTGTGGTTCGCGTCGTTTGTGTTCGCTCCTCGGGATAGTCAACATAGCAAGTGTACATGAAATGCAAAGTCACATGATCACTGTGGCTCAGAGGAGTGTCGATTATCACCCTCTCTAGCTTCAGTTCTTCATTAGTGAATATTCGGTCCAATATGTTATTTCTCCTGCTATTTCTCCTGAATGTAGTGAGCGAAGTGACGTGGCCATAAAGCGGAAAATCTGAGATAAAATCTTGCTGGTCTGCTTTGAATTGCTCCGCTGGTGTGGTTTGAGATTGTAGAGCATGTAAGTTGAACTCGTCGACGTCTAGAAGGTCCCTGTACTTCCTGTTTATCACCTGCTTCAACGCAGCCAACAAGTTTCGGTTCATTTCAGATGTAGACGATAGTGGGCGGTATGCAACAGCCATTAGGCCAAGGTCGTTCCCTCTCATTCGTAAGCTGCACCAAATTGAGTCAGGTACGTCGGTTTCCAAATCGTGTATGGGTTGGCATCGCAGGTGGTTATGAAGTTAAAGGGCTACCCCACTACCTTTGCTGGATGGATCATTCCAGACAATGGGCATACCTGTTAGTGCGATTTCGGCATCCGTTATCTTACTGCGCAACCAGGTTACCGTGAAAGCGATGAGGTCCCAAGCTGCTGATGCATGCCAAAGTCTTAATTCAGCCAATTTGCGGAGTAGGCCTTGGGCATTTATGTACATACATGAGAGCTTCTTGGAGACCAAGTGGGTGTTGGCTTGGATGGATGAATCAAGTGAGTTTACGTTGACTGATGAAGAGACTACGGATACTCGTTTTTTTGGTTCGGTTGAAGGTTCCTGAGACAAAGTTTGTATATATTTAAGTATCAGATGCCCCGGTTCTCGGTATTCGCTCGTGCTCTGCTGTGTCCCTCCGGATATTATAGCTACTGTTGAAACAGTCACCGAGTCAGGTCCTACAGTTAGTGTTTTCATTGAGATTTACACCCCAAGTGGGTTGTTAGTAGAAGTTGGTGGTGTTGCTGCTGCTGCTTATAGACGAATTTCTTTGGGCAACCTGCTACCGAACTTAGTTCAATTCTCAAGAAGAGTTGGTGCGGTTGGTTCTGATTGCAACACCAGTTTCAGCTACCTAAGACCACACACATTGTAGTTCGCTGAGACGGGATTCTTGTCAAGGAGGTAGCGACGACATTTTCAAAAGAAAGGGTCTCACGGATGTAGCGCCATTGCTCCCAGTCATGTACTTGAAAATCGTCGAAAGAGGAATCTGTAATTTCAGATACACGGTGAGCAGCCACAGATTTTTATCTTAATTTTTTCTATTCCTCGCTCGGTTAGTGTGACCTGCTGAACGTGCTTTCCACGGGATTTCAGGTAGTATGCGCACTCCGCTTGAGGCTTTGCGGAGTCGATTCGCAGACAGCAAAACGGCCACTGTCTCATCCCCCGAGTTAAGTTTCACGCGAAGTAACCGGGGTTCACGGTAGTGCAACGCGTTTTGGTGACGCGAGATGCGTTTCAATGTCTTGGGATCAGCATAGACCCCGATTGCCGTGCAGATGGAACTTCATCGATTGCTATCGTCTGTCAGCCTACCCTTAATTGTATTGGATTTGGGTTCGGGGACATTAGTGCACACGAGGTTTAAGGTACCATGGTTACGCCTGGTGGCTACCGGTTTTGGAGCCGTAGTTTCCGGTGCTTTTGGGGAATTTGTGAACTGCATTGATGAGGGCTAACTGTGATGCGACAATTCAGTTTTCTCTAGTCCGGCCACCAAGGTTACCGGCGCTCTTTCCGGGGTGTGCTTGTCGGCAACTGACGTTACCTGGTTTCTCACTATGGCTGGTTGACTGCAGCTTAGGGTCTTCTGTATAGCGAAGAAAATGCTAGGTGTAACACCCAGTACAGAAGTTAAAGCAGGCACGTTATTAACAATGTTTTTACTTATAGGAGAGAGAGAGGAGCGAGTTGGCACTGATTGAGACTGAGTTGTTGGGGTAATGTTGGGACGCCTGGCTCTCTTCTTCGGCTTGATTAGGGAATTTTGGGTGTTATTTTCACACACAAAAGCAGGTCCGTTTCCACTCATAGATGGAACCCTGGCGCATGCCAGTTGCACGATTGCTTCTGTTAGTCTCTCACACTTCTTTAGTAGCAATGTTTGACAGCTAACTACTGGGATATCACTGCAAATTAGGCAGAACCAAAGCGCCGCTGTCGTGTTATTTTACCGTCTCTTCTTTAGCGGCTCCGTCCCGAGGCATTTTATGTGCTAGGTTTTCAGTCAACTGCTGCAAACTAGCTTACTCTTCACCAATTTAGCACACAACCCACACTTGCTGTTAACTTGAGACAAGAGAGAAGACACAAATTCCTCGATGCTTTTATTTTTCAACATAACCTCCCTTGCTCTACCAATGCTAAAATGCTTTTATCCCAGTAGAAAATAACTCTTCATAGTGTGACTCCAAATAGCATTCTACGGCCCCAATGACGTCACTATCGTGGACAGAAGGTCGGCCAGCTAAAGCTTTTTCAAATTTGGAAATAGGTGGCATTCAGAGGGTGCCAGACCTGGTGAATAGGGTAGATGGGAGAGAAATTCGCATCCGCGATCATGGATTGTTTTCTGTGCAATGGAATAGGTGTGAGATGGAGCGTTGCCACTGTGGAGAAGGAAGTCTTATCTCAGCATTCCTGGCCTCTTTTCTCGAAGTTTTTATAAGGCGTTTCGGAAGCTCACAGTAATAATTTCCGGTGATGACATAACCACTTTCAAGGTAATCCATCATCACCACACCACGGGAATCCCAAAAAATTAGACGCCACCACCCTGTCAGCTGACGGCGTGACCTTGGCCTTCTTTGGCGTAGGAGATGATGCACGCTTCCATTGCTTTGACTGATCTTCTCTTTCTGGTTGAAAATGATGAACCCAACACTCATCCATAGTGAGGAATCGGACAAGAAAATTGTCGGCATCAGTCTAAGACAGTTCCAAATTTTGCTTCGACATCATTTTCCGAATAACCTACTGGTCCGGAGTCAGAAGAGATGGCACCCATCGAGCATAAACGCTGCTATAGCCTAACTCTTTTGTCAGAATAGTATTTGCTTGCTCTTGGGAAATGCCTAACCTCGCTGCTATCTGACGAGTAGATACTCGGCAATCTTGCATAAACATATCCACTGTTAGGTCCAGATTTTCTTTGTTGGTGACTGTTGCTGGTCTCCCTGACCTGGACTCATCTTCAACACTCTCCCTGCCGCAATTGAATTCGTGCACCCAGCGAGTAACTGTGGTATATGAATGGGCACTTTCATGCAATGTATTCAGCGTATCTTGATGAATTTCATATGGTGACATTGCCTTGAGAAAGTGATATTTAATCACCGCACAATGCCCCAATTTCTACATTTTCACAAACTTGTTTAACATGCTGATTTCACTCAACGGCTGCAATGAGAAAAAACTGGTAGAAAAAGCATTTTATACAAAGTGAATAATGAAGAGTGGTAGACTATAAGAAACTTAATTTGACTTATTCGGCTGTCTGATTTCTGTGTTAGGCTCGAAACTTTCATTCACCCCTCGTAAATATGGAGTAAGGCATGAAATAGCAGCCCACATTTCCATGGCAGAAGCGTATATAAATAAACCATTCGCACTCATCGTCCTTCGGGATCAGTGGATCTTCCATGCTGCAAAGCAAGTTACAGTACGTATGTAACTGTGACTATGCCCCAATAAAGAGCTCAGACCGAAGCATTCGGAGATATGTTAATGGGGATAATCTCTTTGTAGCCAAACAGAATGGAAAGGTGAAGCTAAGGTGTATAACTGAAAGCCGAAGTATCCATGAGTCCTGAACTATTCCAGTGTGAACTTAAAGGATAGATAAATTACTTAATTGCTGTGATCCAAATAAGAAGGAAAACAATCATCGTTCCACCACCGTGTTTCAGCGATGGTGAGAGGGTGGCGTCTGTACCAAATGATTCGTCTAGCTCCAGTAATACTGTTCCACGTGCAATTGGGTTGGTTCTGTGTATCCTGTCGCTAAAGTTCCAGGTATGTTACGGGGGACCAGTACATACTGGAAGAACATTGGGTCGGTTCATGGGCTCTAAGAATGATCATACCCTACATACCGACTGATGGCCAGCATGCCACAGAACCACCATGGTCGATCTAGAGCCTCACGACATGGAAACGCAAAATTGATGCAAATTAACGACAGAGACACAAGAACAGTCATACGATGAGACAATGATTGGAATTAATGCTAGACAACTTTGTTAGCTGCTCTGGGCACAAATCTCCATCATGTTGAATCAGGGTGTTCATTGCAAAGTGTGGTAACACATTTGGGAACTGTGATGTTGGGGTAGCTAAGGTATTGAACTTCGGAACAGGGTGCATATTACTTGCGAGCAAATGCATAACTCGGTGCCGTTAGTTACGTTACTTCAAGAGAGATAGGGCAACCGGCGATCCTAACTACTTGGTCCAAGCCATTTGCAAGGAATTACCCTGAAATGTCTTGAGCGAATATTACGAACCACAACGCTTATGTTAATGTTCACCTACCTACCAAATTAACAAGCACAACAACATGCAGCTTGCTGGACCATTATAGAACATCTGAACCGCACGAACAGATGCTTAGTTTACCCGGCCATCTATCAAATCATAGTACAACCCGTCATCACGGCCGTCAGAATGGAAATGCCGTTTGCTCTAGTCAAGTAAGTATACGGAAAGAAGCTAAGTGGTCTTGACAAGAAGCTTAAGCCTGCTCTTGTGATTGTCCTGTCAACAAATCATCTTTATTTCAAAGGTCATGCATTGTAAGATTACATGTTGTGTTAGCAACTGCCAACTAGCTGCATTGAATGCTACCCATTCGGCAGGTCAACTTTATTGTCCTGTGTGGGACTGTCTCAAGAAGGTTACCAATATGTTGCTTGCATTAAACCAAGGTCTCCTTCACACTAGAATCCACACTGCCTATGATGCTGAGTATGCAAAAGTTCGCATCTCCAATCTCTCAAATGTAAGCACTAACATGCTGATTCTTCATCTCATTTTTGTTCTCCGATACGCACAGCTCAAGTTAAAAGCACACAAACGGATATGGCATCGGATGATAAAGCATTTTGGTTGAGAGATCAATGGTTCCCTTAATGCTTCCGCAGTTGGAAGAAAAGTGGAAACATTTTGGACGCATGTTATATGAAGTTCAACAGGAGTGAATATTCCTGCCTATTTTTCGGCCCTTTCCATTTGGTTGACACCATTTGCTCCGCTCATGGAGCATTGAGAACTCCTTTCCCTTCATCTCAGACCATGAGAGCACTCTGTGATTCTGTGGGTTATTGGCTACAAGCCAAATAAATACCCTGGAACAGATTTCTTCTTCTGTACTTTTAATGGACGGGCACTTGTTATGATATAGCGGCTAGTTTTAAGGGAAAGCGGAAAATCGAAATGAGCAGTAACGTTTTTCATAATTTTGTAAACAAAACGGTTATAATTGTATAATAAAGAAAGTAACAACTTTTCTCCAGGGGATTTGTTGAAAAGCTGTTATGCCCAGCATTAATGTTGCAATATAATTACTAAATGACCCAACGAATTGGCAACTGAAATTAACGTAAACTTCATCTTTTTTGGTAAGTAGAAATTAATAGAAAGCTGAAATGTGTCATCAGAACTCCGCGTTTAAGGTTTGAAGGCATATTCCGAAATTCAAAGCACACTTTCTCTCGCGTTGTTATCTACGGTGAATAGCGCTCAAGATGAGAAAACCCATTCGAAACGGTATATTTGAAGTGCATCGCACAGTAGAAAACTCCTCGTCTTTTGTGAAGACAAATAGGAAGAACTTGTGCTGGAATGTTTGTGCCTGCATTGTTATTGCCTTCGTTTCCGAGGCGTCTTACAATGATGGTTGAACTTACAGTCAAATAGCAATGGCCAGTAATGTTTACATGAAAAGGTTGAAATATAGTGTTTGCTGTGGTTAAGTGGTAGATTTCCAGAGTAGGTTTTCGTCAGTCCTAACAAGGGAAATTGTGATGTGTTACAGTTTGGGTAGAGAAGAGGAAGTGCAGATGGGATACTCACGTGAAAACCATCAACACGTATGTGAGGAAGATGGAAGTAAAAGGCCAGCAATTTGCACGCATCAGAGTTATCTGTACCATACGCAGTCACGATATCAAGTCGTTAACAAATACCTGTTGTTGACATCTACAGAAAATACATTCCGCGTTTGGTTTCGTTCAGGTTTGTAAGTCCCAAGTAGTGATACCTGGATAAGAGCTTAAAAGTAGGTCGACAAAGTTGCTGACACACACTGAACTCCACACCAACCAGGTACATGCAAAAGGCCTGTTACATGGTCCATACATGCATCCTTGTATAAATAATGCAAGTATATAATCTTGACATAAAATACGTCAACGACTTACGCCTACGAGTTATGGTAGTATGGTAAAAGTGTGGGAGGCGCAACCGAAACCAAGCGCATTACAGAGTAGAACACGAATAGGTGGACGTATACCAGCTGAGGTTGCTTCGTTTTCCTAAGTGCTACAAAGCATTTGGCCCAGACGAACGCCTTGCAACTCTTTCCAAAGATGGTGGCACATCGCTTGTACGAGCACTAAATTTTCTCCTTCCAGTGATTTGGATCAGCGAAGCTGTTCCTTCCAATTGGGACCTGGCAGACATGATTTCCGTCTTTAAAATAGGTGCCCAGTCAGACTGCACCAACTATCAAGGAAGTTAGTCTAAGTTACCTTGTAACCAATGTACTCATCTCCCTGCCTTTAAGTAAGCTCATCCTGGTTAGCGAACAAAATATACGCAACGAGAAAGCTAAGTTCGGCTGTCGCAACAGCTGTATCGATCGCAATTTACGATACACCGGATACTCTGTATTCGCCAAACATTCGGCCAACCAACGAGATTTGTCTTCTTAGACATAAGAGTAGCGTTTGACTCAGGTGATCGATTTGGTCTTCAGGATAGCCTATTAAATAGAGAAGTGTCAGGGAAACAAGTTAACAGTATTCAAGCTTATTTATTCTCGAACCTCGGGACGATTGCATACGTACGGCGGACTTCCCCCTCCAGTATCACCAGCTACGTGCGACAGGGCTGTCTCACATCACCACTAATGAACAACATCGCTATAGAACAGTGGTGCATTACGGATAAAAAAGCAAATGTTTAACAAGTCCAGTGGGGTGGCCAGAATAAGAATCGCAGAATAGAGAAAATAAAACATGGCGATAGCATGAAAGTCTGACTGTTGAAACCCACCATGGTGTTTACATTAATGCATGCATATAACGGCTTGTTACGGTCGAGTGTGGGTAGGGATGGTTGATGGGTCGTTTTCATATCATATCGTCCCTCGATGCATACAGACTCTATTTCGTACTGTAGGTGAACTAGGGCTAAGTCATTACATATTTTAAACAGATCAAGTGGGGGAAGAAACAACGCAATTAGGGAGGGAGTTCAAAGGCTGGTACGCACGAAGAGTGTAAAAGTATCCGCGACATTCTTGTTGGCCATAGTGTGCGGTCAACATGAAGTGGTGGGCACTCAGTTTCGCTTGTCGCTAAGTCGTAGTCTGTGGCCGCAAACGGAGCTGGGGTTCCCCAGAATCTGGTAAGCAATTATTAGGTCCCTCCGTAAGCGTCGATACCGACTAATGTGTTCTCAGTCCAAATACATGTGGAGGTGGACGGTAATTTGAGGTGCTTGCTGCCTGTTCGCTGTGAAGTCCAAAACACAACAGATATTCCTGTGCCAGGGCTGTCAGTATGATTTCGTCTTGCACACGAAACCGCACGTATGCGTTCTGCATCTTTTGGCAGGCAGAAGGGTCGAATCGCCAGAATGCACTCCACAGGATAAGAACGCGTTACTTTTCACTCCTTGATGCCTTCACAAAATGTTCTGATCAAGCCAAATCAGTCTGAATTAGCAGCCGAAGTTCGCGTTCCTTGTTGACGGCTTGCATGACGTGGTCTCCAAATTGGTATTTGATGTTCAGCTGGTGACGAAAGTGAACTACCTTACACTTAGACGAATTAAAGTGGGGCAGATTGTGGAAAAGCCATCCATACGCCTTATCTAGGTCTCGCTGAATTGCACTGTGGTCTCCTTTGTCGGTGATCGTCCGCCACAGGTTGGCATCATCAGCGAAAAGCAAGAAATCCTAGGTAATTAAACACGCAAGCTCATTCAGGAATACGAGAAACAGACGTGGCCCAAGGACTGGTCTTTGTGAAAATTCACATTCGACATGAATTGGATCGGACAGAGCGATCCGAACTCTACTCGGTAGTCGCCGATTCTGCAGGAAATTTCTGATCCACCCAAGGACAGGATCCCCAACTTCACAGCTTTCGAGCCTATGAAGCAGAATGCGATTGTCTCCTCAGTCCAAGGTTTAGATAAAATGCAGTAAATGACTTCGACCCCTCTACCTTTATCGGGCACTTCCGTCCAACTACTGCGTGTAGTCAGTATGTTGGTTACGCAAGAACGGTGTTGGCGGAAACCATTCTGCTTAGGTACTGTGATGTAGTAGCTTTCTAGATGACTGACTATAGCCTCAACGTTGATTGCCTCCATAGCCTTTCAGAGTACAAGAATGAAGACCACTTAGCGATAATGCGCAAGTTCCAACCGACTGCCACGTTTGAAATTGGTGAGCAGCCGTTTGTGTGCAAGTTCCTTGACGACATCAACTAAGGTTGGTTCACGAAGTAACATTAGATGCTATCTTTTGTGGTTTCCGTTTCTGCACCCAACGATTACAATTCTGATGCTGTCAAGGGCACCTTCTACCCCGAACAGAACACACTACTCCGCAGTACTACGGATTCCGATATTATAGTAGTTGTAGGAAAGCTGAATGCACAAGTAAGTTGCCTGTGCTCTTCAGAAGCTCAGGTCGGTGGTGCTTATGGGCTTAACTCCGACCAGAAGGACGACGGCCAGCGTCTGTTTCAACTGTGCGCGGAGTCCCAGTTGTTTGTTAGTAGCACTACTTTTAGACACAATGGGGACCGAAGTGTCACTTGGCGTTCCCCTGTGGCTGATCAGCGATGGACTCAAATACGTCACATTTCCATAAGTTACAGGTGGTGTGGTTCCATGCAGGATTACCGCTCATTCTGGAGCACTTACGTCGACTTAGATGATGATTTGCTACGCTGTTGTTTTTTATACGAACATTACCGGGAGGCGCACCAAGGGTCTCTCCCATTTGGCAAATTAGAACTTCGCTCTCTGTCAGGCATTCCTACCAGGCTGCTGCATGCACTGAAGTTTCCCTTTCTGGCCCTAACGACAGTGAACTCCGGTGAAATAGCATCACGAATGCAATGCACAATGCGGTATTTCCTGTTTGTGGCACTATCAATCGTCCCCGCACCAATCACTAGATAGCCGAGAGGTTGGTGTACCTATTGAAATCCAGAAGAAAACCCCCAGCTCGCTCTGAAAACAGTGTGGCCAGGCTGACTTAGGAGCGAACTTAAGTGGAATCTGTGTGCTGACAAGGATGCCAAGTAGACGAAGCGGGCTCAAGAAATGGAGTAGGCGGTAGCAGTAGGCAATTATCGCAAGCTGTTCCAGCTTATCCGCACCACTGGACCCAGGAAACTAGGCGTCCGTGAGACAAGTGGTAACGGCACGAGCGCGCTGCTTCACAATAACGAATGCTGTATGGCCCGATTGGCGCAGCACGTTTAAGGTCATTCCAGTTAGTTCTCTGCTCCCGGGTCCCTTCCTAATCAGGTAATACAGGAGGAGCCATGGTCCTTTAAAGTAGAGCATCCATTGCAGGTTGAGGTCCAGAACGCGATCACAGCCAGTAACTGTTTCCAAGTTGGTGGCATGGATTCCCTCGCAGCCGCACTATTTAAGGAAGGAGGTGAGGTCCTTTGCAAAGCAATAACCTCCCTGCTGGAACAGGTCTGGAAGAGAAAAATCATCCCAGCTAACTGGAGCACCTGTTGGCTACTTCGGAAGCAATGGCTATCACGCAACTGTAACAGTAGTTATGCAAACAGAGGACACTTGCACAAGCGCTCATGCTGCCTTGGCCAGAACGACTGACACCGTCCGTACCTACCTTTGCCCAGGACTAGCGGTGCGCTTTGACAATAAGTCAACCATTTTTTTCAGGAAAAGCACGGTAAAAAGACGAAAGCTGGTAGATGCATGCATCTACCAGCTTTCTTCTTCTTACCGTGCTTCTCAAATTTCTGAAGGGAACTAACTGCTTTACATTTCTTTCTTACTTATGAGTAGGAGGAATTTAGTTGTAATTTTTAACGTTTTCACCCCAGCAGCTCACAAGCTACGAAGCTTTGCCACAA